CCCGGAAACTCTTAAGAACTGGGACAGTCCCCATAGCTGTTCCAACACCTTTCGACACACACAAACGGCCGTGTGTTTGCGGATGCATTCGTTAATTAATCTGAAATCTTTTCTTTGTGTGCTTTTTGCTCGTGTGTACCCGCGTGAACCCGTCACAAAAAACCTGCTTTGCTGGCCTTGTTCTGCCACATGTAGTTAGGAGCAACGGCAGCATCACTGTCTCTCAACGAGACGTGATGGAAAGTTCAAACTGAACTGTTATGATGGAGGACAAGAGCCGCAGCCTTTCCCAGCTCAAGCACAGTTCTTCACGGATGAACTCACTCCAATTAAAACACAAGGGGGAAACCTGCACGTCAGAGCTCTCTCTTGCAGGCCTCTCTCACCAATTATAAACATGAACTAAGTAGCGAGAGTGCCAGTCACAAAACAGGCAGGCTGTTGGGTTAAGAAATTCATTCTCTCGTAAAGCTGTTCCCAACCTTTGTGCTGAAGGACGCCCTTTTAAGAACGTTTAATACAATAGTCTGTATTATGTTTTTTTCATTTTAACAATCATACATTCTTGCTAAGCTTCTTTTTTTTGAGAAATTCAGTGTTTCTGTCTCATTGTTATATCAGCGCTTTGGTTGTTTTAACTGTATTTTTTTATTGCAGGACGAGGCTGTTTACTGGATGTTTTTTCTTTTGTGTTTTTTAACACTGCAATCAGTTATTGAATATCAGTTCATTATTGTGCCTTAAGCACACATGTTGTATTTAACAAAGAAACTGCCTGAATAGGTTCAAGGTCTAAAGTTTAAGCCTTGACGTTGGCAACCACCTGACTGTTTTCAAGGATTGTTTAATATGAAGCTTAAGGTATTGTGTCAGTGATTTTACAGTAAATTGATCTGCAGGTTATCTCTGCTAAACAGTTTTCACTATAGCATGACCTGTATCTGACCCGTTTAATTTTCGCAATACAATATACATTGTACAACATACAATCTCTGTTTGTACCAAAATGCCTAGTGAAAGGGCTAACAAGACAATAGATTCAAACAAATCAAACTTTCAACAGGGCGCCTGGATAGCTCACCTGGTAGAGATGGCACCACTGAGCTGCAGCAGCTCAGGGTTCAAATCCAACCTGTGGCCCTTTGCTGCATGCAATCCCCTCTCTCGACCCTCTTTCCTGTCTATCTTCAGCTGTCCCATTTAATAAAAGGGGAAAGCCCCAAAAATAATAAAAAACCAAACACTGGCCCCTCTAGATAGGGACTTATATGTTTTTTGAGTTTTGTGGCCACCATAGTTTCTCCTACACACTCTGTTGAGTCAAGGGGTTTCAGTTTTTTTGCAGACTGCCATCTCACCACTTGATGCCACTAAACCCCACACACTGGTCCTTTAATACATCCATGAGCTAGAGTCAAACAGACACTGTTAGCGCAGTTTCGCAGTCACCGTAGTTTCTCCTACGCATTTCACTGTCTTTTCTCACTCCCAGGTTGTCAAATACGGACGTGACATTTAAAAACACCAACATTGGGAAAGACCAGAAAGCAGAGAAGAGAGCACTTCATCCATCTATCCATCCTATAATACCTGTTTATAGGTGGGCTTATTTTAGCAGAAAAGCATGGAAACACCATTAACAAAAACATTTGACAGAAACTGCTCTATGTGCACTGTAAATGTCTAAAATCACAGTCCAAGCAACAAGTTGATAACATGGTAAAGTTAGAGTAAAGTGTGCTACATCAGACTACTTTTAAACTCAACAGACAGGAAACAAGAATTCTGGTGTCAATTAATTCAAAGTTACAGCTCATTTAGTTCTGTCCACTCCTAGTTTACATTCCCTTCAATCACTCTGCAATTTGTACCATGTAATTATGTTTTCCTTTTTTATTAAAATACAACAGTGTCAAATCTAGTGTGAAATTATCTCCTGTCTCGGATAACAAAAACAGCCTGAATGAGTTTGTAAAGTGACATGTTGTTGACAGAGACTTGTTTCTTCCTGTGGGTGTTGAGAGGATTGACAGGAACCAAAGTCCCTTTAAATGTATGAAAACTCTCAACTTTGGCACAATAAAAAAAAACAAAACACAAAGTCTGACAAATAAAAACCAAAGAAGACTGTATGTTATGTGACAGACTGAAAAAGATTCTTCTAAATGGGGACAATTTTTGCTTTATAGCTTCACAATCAGGATGAATGAAGAGGAAAGCAATCTTTTTTTTCTTAATTAAAACCCCAATTACCACCACATCGCATACTGATCTATCATTTATTTTCCTAATATATGAGTCTAAGCAAGATAACGTCTTGTTTTACACATTAAAGAGTTGGGTCATGTAACATAACCCATCACCTGAGTACCAAAGCTGAAGCAGATCGATTAATAAATCTGTTAGATTAGATCTACCAGCAGAAGTATTTTCATTATCTAGTACTTGTTTAATTCATTTTTCAAGTAAAAATGCCAAATATACTACGGCCCTGTTTATCTGATAACAAACTTTAAAGACACATTTTACAAGCATCTTTGTGTGCTTTATTTATATAGACACCAAAATGCGATGAAAATTGTTAAATTTTCTATGCAAACCCCTATAACTGTGTTTAAACTGTTTACATGCAAGTGTGTGTGTGTGTGTGTGTGTGTGTGTGTGTGTGTGGGATTAAGTGGTATAGTGACATGATGAGTGTGAGCAAGTACTGTACGTGCCTGTGAAAGACTGACACACACTCACTAAAGACTAAACAAGTACTTTCCCTCCAATCGTTGGTCGTTCCCAATATCAGCTTTAGTTTAGTTTAGTTTTATATCTTTGTTAACAACTATTTCGATCATCGATTTGTTGTTCAAGTCACTTCTGAAGCAAAAAAAGTCAAACATTTGTTGGTTCCAGCTTCTCAAATGTGTTATTTATATAGACACCCAAATGAGATGCAGAGTTGTTACATTTTCAATGCAAACCACTATAGCTGTGTTTACACTGTTTACATGCAAGTGTGTGTGTGTGTAATCAAGTAGTGTAGTGACATGATGAGAAAGTACTGTATGTGCCTGTGAAA